AAAAATACACCACAGGCATGGAGCATCAGACTGACTGACTGTTCTTGAGAAGGGCATTTCTCTAATGTATAGCAGATTTCCCACCCAGGGACATGGCCTTTGCATAGGCCTTGAGATGAGAAGGAGTAAGAGGCTTCCTGGAGTGTGGTAGGAGTGAAGACACCTAAGGGGAGAGAGACTTATGGATGAGGCTGCTGCAGGCAGTGGGTGATGGGGCATACATGTCTTGAGGACCATATTAAAGATTTGGTAGGAGCAGCATGAAGCACCTGGTAGGGTGTTAAAAAGGGAGTGGCATGATCAGATTTGAGTTTTAAAGAGACCCCTTAACTTTTACATAGAGAATGGATTGGAGGAGGACAGATGTAGATGTGTAAAATTGAGAGAGGCTCTAGCTGAAGTATAAATGCAACATGATGGTGTCTTAGAGTAAGATGGTGGTAATGGAGAAAGACAAGTATATAGATTCAAGAATTGTTAAGGGAGTAAAATGAGCAAGACTTAGCTCTTGTTGGAATGAGGGGGATTTTAAGACAGAAGGTGATCAAGGATGACATCACAGCCCCTATTTAGCATGTTGTTGTTGTTGTTGTTATTTGCTGTCAAGTCGGCCCCGACTCATAGCGACCCGCCTTGGGTTTCCGAGGCAGTATCACTATGGAAGTAGGATTGCCTAACCTTCCTTCCGAGGAGTGGCTTGTGGGTTTGAACCGCCAGCCTTCTGGTTAGCAGTCAAGTGCCTTAGGCACTATGCTACCAGCGCTCCCCTATCTGGCAAAGCATTGTGAATAGTGATAAGATGCATTGAGATGGAGACCACCAAAGAAGAGCTAGAGTTGAGACTGTGATGACTAAGTTGAGTTCAGTTTTGGAAAGTTGAACATGAGGTCCCTGTGCAACATCTAAAGGAAGATGTATTCAGTTGGAGTGAAGACACCTAAGGGGAGAGAGACTTATGGATGGGGCTGCTGCAGGCAGTGGGTGCTGGGGCATGCATGCCTTGAGGACTATATTAAAGATTTGGTAGGAGCAGCATGAAGCACCTTGGATGGGTGTTAAGAAGGGAGTGGCATGATCAGATTTGAGTTTTAAAGAGACTCCTTTTCTGATACTTGGGTCTGGAGAGCAAAAGAAAGGTGTGAAGTAGAATTAAGAATTTGAGACTCATTCATCTATAGATGGCACCTGAAACTGGGTCAAATAGGGAAGGAATAGTCTGTGCTTTTGGCATGATTGTAAAGGCTTGGGTGGTCTACAAACCTCTCCTTTTCACAGTGATGTTAATATGTGGGCTGATTTATGCCAGTGTTTCCATCCCAGTCACCTCACTCTACAGAAACAGTAAATTCCAGTGCTAGGAAAAGGCTAGATAAGTAATTCTTCCTTTGAAAAGCAGAATATATTAATACGTTTTTATACTAGCAATCATTGAGATATAGTAAGATTTTTTTTCTCCTTCTCTTTGTCCTTCTTACCTTTATTCTTCCTTTTATTTTTATTTTTCCCCTCTTCTTCCTTTTCCTTTGCTTCTATTCTGTCTCTTGTTTTTCTCTCTTTCTTTTTCTCTTTTTTCCTTTCTTGGCCACTGTGGTGGCATCTGGTGGCCTATGCCTGATATTTTGTATGGATGCATTCCTTTAACAGAAGGGTCATTCTAGGGATTTCCTTCCTACTACCCAACTGGGGAATTAAAGTGTGCTTTGATCACTTGATTAAGGAACCATCTATTCTTCACTTTTCATAAGCACAGGCTGGTTATAACTACATTGGGGAGTCAAATACGCATTTTAGAGTAGAGTACAATTATTATTTGTAAGTGTTTTTTTGAATTCTGATAAATTATTACATGCTAATCACTTTGTTAAATTTAATTTAAAAAAAAAAAAAAAACTTTTTAATCACTTTTTTTCCTAATAATTAATGCTGATTTATTTTGGTTTTCCTGTTTGATAGATTACTGTCCTAGATGAGACATGGACTGTATTTAGGCGTTACAGTCGTTTTCGAGAAATGCATAAAACATTGAAGTTAAAGTATGCAGAGGTAAGTTATGAAATAATTATTTCCCATTAAGAATATTTGTTTTATAAAGTAAAAGATCTAATTGCATTATCAATACCATCCATGTCTGTCTTCCTCCCTCTCAGTTTCTCTTTAAATACTAGCTTATGTCACTAAGTTTTGTTTCAATTACTTATCTATCACAGATAGTTTTTAAAAATTTTTAAATTGTTATCTTTTTGTTCCTTTTCTATTATAAACAATTTAAATATTTTCTGAATACAAGACTTTGAAAGTGATGTAGCAGTAAAAAAACTGTCATTTTCATAAATTTTATGATTAATTTTAAATATTTGAATCAATTTACAACCTCTCAACTGTTGAGTAAGACCTATCAAAATGCAGTCATAATAAATTCTTCAGTATAGATATGACCTTTTTTATCTTAAAAAGTACTACATTTAGTCCAGCAAGATGGCAGACTAGGCAGAAAGACTGTACAGACTGTCTTCAACAAAGAAAAGGAAACCAATTAACACAGACACAGAAGATAATCCTGGACCCCTGAGCCTTGAAGGGAAGGATATAGAAGTGGACTAAACCCCAACTAGCAGAAGAA